ACATGCCATCACTGCTGTGTGGGACCTCTGTGGGCTGGGCTGCAAACCAGCTAATCAGGGAAAAACAAATCCAAACCCTGAGAGCCTCCCAAACAGCTATTCTTTTCATCTCCATTGCTCAGACACAGCCCTGGGAGTGAACGGCCACTCGCTTGGCCCAGTCTGTGTGAATCCACTTGCTTTGGCTGCAACCACACTCTCTCTTTTGATAAGATTATACCAAAAGACATGCTTTTTGATTTTCTTAGTCCATGTTCTGCTGCTATAACAGGATACTAGAGACTGGGCCAATTATAAATAATAGAGCTTTATTCAGCTCACAGCTCTAGAGGCTGGGAAGCTGAAGAGCATGGTGCCAGCATCTGGTGGGAGTCACCATGGCAGAAGAGGCAGAGTGAGCACAGGAGACAGACAGAGTCATCAGAGGCCCGACTCACTTTATAATTTACTCTCGCATAACCAACCTCCTGCCATGATAATGACATGAATCCATTCATGACAGCAGAGTCCTCAAGACCCACTCACCTCTTACTGGGCCCCATTCCCCATCCCCACTGGGGATTAAGCTTCCAACACATAAACTTTAGAGGGACACATTCAAACCATCGCTCCCACCATCTCAGGTACGCAGGCAATAAAAGACGTGAAAAGACTGAGGCTCTAGAACTTCCACTGGAGCTAACCTGGGCCTCTATACTTTAAAAACAAAGAGATTCCTTAGTCAACTCCAAGCCCCCTGTATGGGGCAGTTCTCCTTTATATCAAGCCTTCATTGCTTCTGCCACAGTTTCAGCTGCAGTTACCTTGCCTGTTGTCCAGGGGAAACTAGGGGGCAGCCCTGCACATGCACACCCTTGGGACCACCGTTGCACACATTCCCTTTTTTCCCCCAAGCTCCACTTGTGCTGAATGGGTGAAAGCCCCTGGAGAGACATCCATGCCATCCAACTCCTGGGCGCTGGCACAGAGGCACTGGCCCAGGATCCCTGGACCCCAAGAAGAAATCTTAGGCTTGCCCCAGTGTGTTGCATCCAGTGTGATCACTCTCACCTGCTGATAATCAGCCTAATTTTGTTCTTTGTAAGGGAAAACACACACCCCTTGAACAAGAAGAAGGGGACTGAAAGACAGCCTGATGTCCCTAAGAGAGCCTATCATAATCTCTCCTAGGTCAAATCAGCTGATGCTCATTCCTGGGTTTGCTCGGCCATGAAGATTTCCTCTCAATGTTACCAATAACTTTCAAGAAAGATGGCCCAGCACCAACTGCATTCCAGTGATCCACAAGTTCCAATTTTCACTGGAGAGTGACTCAGCAGGTTCTATCCCTGTGTTGGTGACCAGGCCGTGTTGCTATGGCCTTCCACCTGCTGGGCTGTCTGGGCCTATGGTGCCTGTTCTCGCTGACCCCTCACGCTCCCTCTCCTCACTCCTTGCACCGCCCTTTAGCCTCCAGCCCCGAGGCTGCTGGGAGGCGAGAAAATGCAGGACTCATTGGTAAGCAGGCCTGTACTGGCTCATTCAGCTGCAGGCAAGGTTGCGGGCAGCGAGGGGGGTCACGGCTCACACCCACTCACTGAATGAGCTCTTGTGATATGCCTTGCACATGAGTGCCATCCCTGCTGCCTCGGGATCTAATGTCTCTGAAGGGGTCCAAGGGTCCTGGAGTGCAACCTGGACGTGTCGGGGAGGTGATGTCCTGTGGCATGAACTTTAGCCAGTGAAACACAGGACTCACAGATATGTGTTTCCCTTTCCCTGCAATGGACCATTTAGTGAGACCATAGCTTCATAGGACCTCTGCAGATGCAGCAATCAGCTGTGCTCAATTCAGAGCTCTGCCCAGCCGGGAACACACTCCTTATGTATGCTCTCCTCCTTGCCGGCCATCTTTCCCTTGCCTCAAACTTCTGTGTCCTTGGAATTGCACTTCTTGGCTTAAGCTTTTGCCTTGGACTCTGATTTCTAGGGAGGCTCAGACAGCTCTCATACTTCCTGTGTGCCAAACACTGTGTGTGTGTGTGTGTGTGTGTGTGTGTGTGTGTGTGTGTGTGTGTGTGTTATTTTTAAGTCTTTACAAAAAGTTCTTTACAGATGAACTGGAGCTTTGGGGGAAAGGGTAGAAAGGATAATATAACTTGCCCAAGAACACACAGCTAGTAAGTGGATGAACTGAAATTTTAGTTTAGGTCTATTTCACATCAAGATTTGTACTCTCTTAGATCACGAGTACTGAAGTCAGGCAGACCAGGGCTTATATGCTGGCTCTGAACTTACTAGCAGTGTGATCTTTGTCAGTTTACTTGCTATCCTGGAGCTTCCATCTCCTTATCTGTATAAGGGACAGATTTAGATGCAGTGGCCTCTAAGGTCTCTTCCAGCTGGGACATTCAATAGCCCAAGGGCCTCAGAGGGGACCCTCTGCTGTTACAGTCCCTGAAATCTTCCTGTGCAGCTTGGGGAAAGGGTCATGGAGGATAGAGCCAGGCCTGAGGACTGCTTTAGTCCTAGGGGAACATCTTGGCAGATATGTCAAAGCTTCAAACCTGAAGAGAATGGGGTCCCCGCATCACCCACTCTGTCCCACCACCAACCCCAGTGGCATTCAGACAGCCTTCTGCCTGAAAAACAGTCCCCTTCTCCTTGCCACAGTAACCCCCACCTATCCTTCAGAAGCCAGCTCACACACCTTTTCCCAAGGGAAGGCTTCCCTCCCCTCCCCTGGCATCACCACAACCGAATCCTACTCGCTTCCAGATGTTCTCTTATAACTCCTTGGACTCTGTCTCCCTAGCACTTATTCCAGTGTGAAATTATATATTCATGGGATCATTCATGGATCTCTATCTTGCTCATGAGTCTAGAAGACCCATGGGGGTAGTGCCCATGCTTATTTTGTCCCTGACTGTATCTCCAATGTCTAAAAGAGTAGAAGGTGTTCCATCAATATTTATTGAATTAATGAGTTCATTCATTAGTTAATGTCAGGTAGCCAAGACTTGATGAGACCAAAGCAGCAGTACTTTTGCTTGAAAAATGATCTGGGGTGAATTTTAAGATCCCTGTCTGATTACCCAAGTCACTCAGGCTGTAGCTGCATGTCCTTGAGTCCCCGACTCCTCCCCATCTCCTGCCAGTCCACGTCACAGCTCATTAGGGGGCTAATAAGGAGATGGCTGTGCAGTGACACCACCCTCCCTAAAGTCACCCTACCAGGCACCAGGCAGCCCAATGGGGCTGAAGAAACCAGCTCAAGGTGATCGAGGACATCAGTAAGAAGACAAGGAAAAAGTTGGGCATTTTGGCCTTCTACGGCCTTATACCTCACAGAGGAAAGCAAGTGAGAGGCATGTGTCAGGAGGGGCTCCGAAGAGTAAGCAGAGAAAAGCAGCAAATCCTTTTCTGCATAAATGTGGGCATCACTAGGCTCGAATCTCAAAAACAGAGTCTCAAATACAGTAGATAGCTCCATGTTAAAGTCCCCACCCTGCCAACTCCAGTCCTGGCAGAGTCCTCCAGGGCTCCCTGGGCTTGCATGGCCTTCTGTTGACTGTCAGCCCTCTGTCTGCAAGCCTCTCCTTGAGAGTAAGGCCTCACTTCTGAACTGGCTCCTTCTGGACTCCAGTACCTCCAGGCAGGCCCCACTTCTCTGAACAAGGCTTGCTCTTTTACCCTGCTGGGTCATGCAGATGCTATCTGTACTGCCAAGTGAAGTTCTCAGCATCCTCCCTCCTCAGCGTTTCAACACATTTCACAGCTCTCATCTATGCAGAACGCTCCCCAATGCTTTACCAAAGATTGTTTATTTAATACCCCAATACATATGTTTATCCTTGAAAACTAGGATTTTTAAATTGTATCTTATACTCCAAGCTTGGTGTACACAAAGGGTTAAAATCACACGAATTCAATAAATAAAAGGATCTGGGTTCAAATCCCACACTCACAGTGTGGCTCCAGGCAAGTCATTCAAGCTCTCTGGGTTTCAGATTGCTCATGTGTGAAATGAGGATAATAACAAGCTGAAAGGCATGTCAGAGGGGGATTCGAACTAATGCACGGAAAGCACCTTGCACACCCACACACAGGAGAGCTGCAGGGGATCCTTCTATCACTGGAAGCCTAGAGAAAAAGAAGAGGGGTTGGTTCAAGGTCACATTGAGAGTCCAGGTCTGTGCTCTCTGCAGTGGGTCCTCATCACCTATCCTGATCATAAAAACTCAGTTATTGAAATATGGACAGTGAATTAGCAATGATTTAATTAATTTTTACAGTTGTTAATGGTGTGTACAAAGAAAAGAAGAGATTTCCCCCCGGAAGAACTTTCTGTACCCTTGCTCTAACCTAGCAGATGACTGGCATTCTACAATGCTCATCTGCATCTTAATCAAGTCTCCACATTCACCCTGAAAACCTACAGCCTGTCCAAGTGCACCTTGGTCCTCGATCTGTAAAATGACATTAACAATAGCTGAAGATAATGTAAGAAGTAACAAAATCACCGTAACTGTGACCAACTCCTCTGCCAGTCCAACCTTTGCCCCTGTGATTTAGCCATGTCTCCTGTGACAGTATCTTTCAAGGATCAAAGTCAGCTGAGGTAGGTATGTTCTATCCTCCCAGGGCCTGCCCAAGCTCTGCCAGGGGGTGCTGATGAGCCACAAAATACTCAGAACAAACAAAAAGCACCAGGATTATCCAAAAATGGAATCCAAACTCCCTCGTCTGTGTTAATCGGTTAAAGTCTCCATTACGTGTTGCAGGCACTGGGCTGGGAGACCATGGGGCAGGGATCGTGGTGGTCTTATTCACCAGTGTGCAACACCAGTACCTGGCTTTGCACCAGCCCAGTCAGGATTTGTAGAATGAATGGACAAATAAATGCACTAATCATTGGCTGATTGGCTGCATAAATGGTTTCTGAGCATGCAGCACACCGTTATGCCCTTCCAATCCCTCCCAGCCCACCCTTGAGTCCAGATCACCTGTCCTCTCCTTACCCTAGCGATCAGCTCCCCGACCATTCCTGTCCAGGTGCCGTTGGCCTCAGGAACACCATACACGCCGTCCCCGACCAGGCGGATCTTGTAGTTGAATCGGAGGATTTCGGCCAGCTCCTTGAGCATGTCCACACAGAAGCCCTCGTAGCGGTCATTGCCTTCCATCTCCTGGTGGTTCCCCTTCAGCATTAAATACGGGTTTTCCTGTAGCAAAACTGGGCAGCTGTCATTCTCATCTTAGCCCTGGCGCCTCAGCCACACGTGATGGGAAGGGCTGGAGGCACAGGGGACTGGGGAGGAATTGAGGCAGAAGGAGGGAAGTGACTTGGGTAATGGGCCCCTTTATGGCGATTAGCTCCCCTACCTGACACACTCCTTAGAGCTCTTCTTCAAGCTCTCATCAGAAACACACAATGGCTCCCACTGCACAGAGGGTCAAGCTCAAGCCCCTCCACCTAACTCTGCCCTCCATCTGACTCTCTTTTTTCCTTCCTTCTTACTCTATACAGACTGATGGCTGGGTATTATAAGCATTGCAAGAATGCCTGAAATGCAGCAGGCAAGGTAAGAACATATACATGAACAACTACAATCCAAGGCAGAGGATAGACCAGCCATGAGTGCATGGGAAAAGGAACAAACTCTTAGGTAAAATGTGCAGAGAAGGTCTCACAGAGAAGGTGGGAGACAATAGGGCTCTGGGGCATGGAAGCACATCGAGAAACAGAAGGGTCGTGAATGGAAGGTATTGTGGGCAGGGGAAAGGCTCGATCAAGGGCACATTCCTGACAAAGAGTGTGGCCTACTCAGGGGACGGGGACCCCCGGAGCAGCTGAAGAACAGGCTGTGTGGAGGAGTGGAGTGGGAAGAGAAATACAGACAGAGTTAGGGTCAGCAATGTGGATGGGGTGACTACATCCTACAAGATACAGTGGGGAAACACCAAGCATTCCAAAGATGTGAGGCTGTGAGTTAAGAATATCACATAGTAGGAGGGGGAGCAGCCAGGAGTGAGCACAGACCCTCTCCTGAGTTGAATTCCTGAACCATGATTTTGGCTCAGGTGGGATTTGGATTAGAGAGAACTGGGAGGATGTAAGAGACACTGACAGGGACAGGCTTGACAGCTGGTTGGGTGTGGGGTAGAGTGCAGGGGATCCTCTAGATTCTCAAGGTCTGGAGGCATGGTGAAGGTGATGTCATCACTGACCTGGATGTCTGGAAGGGAAGAAGATTTGGAACAGGTTGAATTTGAGGTGCTGGAAGGCTATCCAGGAGGGAATGATCGACTGGGTGTTTAAAATGTGGCATGAGGGTATGACGGGAACAGAGATTGGAAACTCTGTCCACAGGCGAAGACTGAAGCTGTGGAATATGTGAGAACATCAAGGGGAAGAGCTGAGAACGGGCAGGAGAGGAACAAGAAGAGGCCCTTGGGAGAACCTGATCTTAGTGGGAAAATGAACAGCAGCCACAGAAGACAAAGCAGAAGCAGCCAAAAAGACTGAAAATCAGGGAAATACGGTCATAAAGTCAAGGAGGAGGGAGGGTGAAGAAGAGGAACGCAGCCAATCCCGCCATTCCCACATGGAGACCAAGCAGGGCTGTGAAAGGGCATCTGGATCTTGCATCTCTGACGACCTTTTGAAGGCAGATGCAGTGGGGGAGCAGGGCTTGGCAAGCATCAGGAGTGGACAAGCCCGTGGGAGGGAGGGGGGACCAGATAGGAGATAAGAAGGCAGGCAGCACAGCAAAGGGCAATGGCCGCTCCACCTGGCTACCCACTTGAGTCACGCCTCTCCTCGAGCTCCAGTCCCTCTGCAAACAGTAGGGCTGGGGGATCCCCGAGGATCCACCCAATCCTATGATTCCATGACCCCTACATTGGAGGGTGGCTTGAAGGGCAGCAGAGTGTAGAAAGGTGAAGGCAATGATGCTTTAGGATGGGGTATATTTGCAAGTAGGAAGGGAAAAATCCCTGGAAAAGGAAAGAACGAGAAGGAGGAAAGATAAATGCTCACTTGTGGAGCAAGTGCCCAGGAAGCAGAGGGTGGAGGCAGGGTCAGGGTAGGTGTGAGGCTGGGAGATGAGTCTGGAGGGGAGATGGAGAATGTGGATGTGGATGTAGAGAGAAGGGGGAAGAGACCAGAAGCTGAGGAAACCAGGGTTGTGCTAACATGGGGACAGGTGGGTTTGGATGCTTGGTGTTTGGGAAGGTTGAGCCAAACCACCCAGGGGACTTGGCAGGGAGAGAGGAGGTGGGCGCAGGGACTTCCGAGGCCTAGCTGAGGGGAGGACACAGGATGCAACTGCCAGCTGGGAGCAGGGGTCAGAGGAACAATCAGGCTTGGGGACAATATGAGGAGAGAAGGTTGGGCATCATGATTCTAGAAGGTAGGAGAGGAGGTGCTGAATGCTGGCTGGTTGAGCTCAAGCTGGAAGGGGCTACTGAGCTGGGGAAAGATGGAGGGTCACACAGACCAGAGCCAAGGAGGGAGGACGGAGGAGAGCAGTTTTGGGGAAATGATGATGTGGGAGGGCAGGAGGGTAAAGACTGTGTGTCAGGAAGTGGGCGCTCCGAATGGAAGGTGATGTGGTCTGATTCATGACTATCTGCTCTCTGCCCATAAGACAGGGACAGTCTGCCTGCCTTCTACACTTGCCATCCTCAGGGTGAGGGCTTCTGCCCGCCCAAATTCCTCTCCGCCCCATTTTCTGTCATCTTTGTCCTTGGAGTCACACTGCCCCCTCCCATGCCAGCCCACACCCCCCATCCCAGAACACTCCTGCTCTCGCCCCAAGGACCACACAACTATCCTCTGGTTTCTTCCTCACTGTACTTGCCCCAGGTGGAAGGGACGTGGGGCCTGGGAATGACTCTCCTTTTCCGTGGGTATCACCAGCTGGCAGCAGCCTTAAGCACTTGCTGGTTGTGTGAGTAAAAGACACAGCAATGGCTACAGCCAGGGCTTGGCTGGGGGTTTCCAACCTGGGATTGACAATGCCCCAGGGTATCTTCAGTTGTCCCAAGGATTGCCACAATACTCTCTACTCTCAAGTTCATGTACGATTCACGGCCACATTCAAAGTGAATATACACAGGGCAGATCTTGGAGGAAGGAGATGACGTGCTGGAGAGCCAAAGGATCAGACAGGCAGGGCTCACTGGCACCTTGGAAAGCATGGGAGGCTGTGTGTCTGCCTAGAGCAGGAGGGTCTCCCGGTGGGGGCGCTGGGAGAACCCCAGGCGACCATGCAGCAAAATGTAGAACATGGGGTCTGATTCAGAAAAGGTGTCCGGGGAATGGGAGCGGCAGCTAATTTTGTGTGTTTGCTGGTATTAAACAATAAATCATCCATATGTCCCAAGTGTAGCCTGACAGGAGTGGGAGAAAACATGGATATGTGACAAGTTTTAAGGGATAAACAATTCAGGATTACCATTTGCTAGGGAAAATCCACAAATGGTCACCTGGGGATGGAATTAAGATCATCATTCTTGGTGAGAGCTATTGACTCAGATCAGCCACGTTAGACACACACACAGAATTGCTAATTGGTGTTTGAGTTGTACTTACCATGTTATTAAATGTCACCTCACACATAAGTGTTCTGCCAGCACCCCACCCTCTGTGAGCACATGTGTGTACGTGAACATGCATGTGTGCACACACATAGATCAGAATGACCTTCCCGATCTAGAAACATGACCCTGGGGTTCAATACAGCCATGGGTCCAGGTCCAGACCCGAGAGGCAGGAGGTGCAACTCAGTCACTTTCTCGCTTCCCTCCCAAACACCTGTTAGCTTTTAAAGGACACTCCCAGCCTGTAGGAAGGAATTCCTTCACTCCAATTCTAACTACCAAGCCCCTACTCTGTGTCTACATCCCTATCTTTGAGGTATCCTTATCCCAGAAGGGGAAGTGGAGCTCTAAACCACAACCTCTAATAGGAGAAATGCCACCCAGAGGGGTGTGCAAATACCAGAGAGGGGAATGGCAGGAGTTGGCGTAGGAAAGGCTTCATGGAAGAGATGCCATCTGAGCAGAGCTCTGAAGGATGCAGAGACATTTCCAGTTGGAAACAGGGATCAGAGGGAAGGGTGATCCAGGCACAGGAGATAGCATGTGCAAAGGGAAAGAGATGCACGATACAGTGAGTGAATGTTGGACAACCCATTACCATGAAGAAGGAGGTAAGGTGGGCTGGGGCTGATTATGAAGGGCTAGATCACAAGATAAGGGGCAGTCAGGCCTGGGCAGTCACTGAAGGATTGTAAGGAAGAAGATGACACGACAATTCTGATTTTCAGATTTGCTGGAGGAGAGGTAGGCGGAGCAAGTGAGAAGGGAAGCTGCCAGGAAGCCATGGAGTGACTCAGGGAAAGGAGTCAGATAGGCCCAGAGATCCCACCATATGCTGTCCCCTCCTCCACTGTGCTCGGTCAGGGCACTTCCAGCTCCCAGCTGGACAGTGACACCACCACCCTCTCAACTTTCTGGCATTTCCCTGTTAGTTCAGGTAAGCTGAGGCTGAGCTGAGATGGGCAGTGAGGGAAGCCCTTGGGACAGGAACCGTTCTCTCATCATGGTTCCCTCTGCCTGGCACACCCGTCTCAGACAACCGCTGGTTCCCTCCTCACTCACCTCCATCAGGTCTCTGCTCAGAGCTCACCTGCTCAGTGAGGGCGCCCTGAACACCTGCACATCAAAACCACCTTTCACGCTGAACTCCAACCCCCTTCCTGACTCTCTTTTCCCTCAGCCATACAGCCTTCTAATTTATAGATTATATTTCTTTTTACTGTCACACATTCCCTGCTGGAATGTAGGCTCCTCACAGGCAGGGATTTTTGGCTTCCTTTTTGGTTCACTGATGTATCCTGAGTCCCTACAACAGTGCCAAGCATATAGTAGTGCCCGATAAATAAATATGAACTGAATAAATGAAATGAAAGAAATTATTCAGTGACCCCCATCTCCTAGCAAACGAAGGGAAACTCATTACCCGGGTATTCATGTTCCTAAGCACTATGGTCCCGATCCACTTGACTGGTGATGCCTCTCCCCTTCCCTACCAATGCTTGCTTCTGGGGGGGGAGACCCCTACATTTTTCAGTATTTTCTGAGCATCTGATAATGCCCTCCTTTAATCACTTCTTCCCATGCACTCCCTGTCTGTCGCAGTCCATCATAAGTGTCCCTTCTTCTCTGAAGGCTTTGCTGACCTCCCCATGGGGTGAGACCTTTCTCTCCTTCAAATTCCACAGTTCTAAGTATGCGCCTCTTTCCTGACTTTTAACTCCCACTGCTCACAGTAGATCAATAATTTTAGCCCAGGGTTCCTGAAGGTAGTGATGGAGGTCCCTGAGCTCTTTTTATTATCTCCAAAAACCTTAAAGAAATGGACATGTTTGCAGACTTTGCACAGTTAGCAGTGATAGGTCTGAGCAGGCCAACTCATGCATGGTCACTTTGCTTTGGTCTGAAATGATATCAGTGTGGCAACACTGGTTATCTCCTGCTGGTAAGACACTGGGTCAGGCAGGGACAAATGCTTTAGATTAGTTAAAAGGGGGAGAGGGGAGGAATAAATTAATTACTGCTTAATACATGCAGTTGGCTTAGTTGACAAATCTTTTAAAGTATGAGGTCTTCAAGGGGGAAGACAAATAATACCTTGGCCATGTATGTACTTGACATATCCCATCTACTAAATTATAACCTCAAGAGAGAGGACAGAGATTGAGTCCTATCACCTTTGGTCTCCAGGACTGAGCATAGGGCCTGACACTGGCAGGGGTACAGGGTGAACTCGGTAATTACTAAGTAGAGTTGAATCACTTCAAAAGGGCAGATCGTCCCTTGCCCTATAGATTAATTGAGAACGATCTTTTCACCATCTGGAAATGAAGAAACAGGCCATGTAAACCCACAGGCATTCAGGTGTCCACTTGAGGAGGGGGTCATGGGGCAGGGCTCCACTTTGTATACAGAAGTCACCAGCAAGGTGGGCTGCTGGGAAAGGGCAGAGGGCCCCCCAGGAGCTGGAGTCAGTTTCCCCCCTCTGTGTTATAAGGTCCCCTCTCCTTGGCTGTCAGGGTGCCCCTGAAAGAGGCATCCACAAACTGTGGTGTCTCTACTCCAGCCCTCCTCCCCAGCTGCTCTGAAGCTCATCAAATATCATTTCCATATGAAGCAGCAACTTGAGTGTAATTACACTGTCATAAATTGGCCTCGGTGCTGTGATTAGAGCACCCATCTTCTGTTCATGGGGAAGCCTGTGAGTGTTGGGGCGGGGAAGGCACCCCGGGGAGCAGCAGCTGGGAGCCTGGGAGACCCCGCTTACCAGGATGGTGGTGACGACCAGCGTGGTGTTGAAGAGGCTGTCCGAGGTGTTGGAGGCGTAGAGGCGGCTGTCCATGCTGAGGCCCTCTGCCACGTGCCACTGGCCGATCTGAGGAGACCAACAGGAGAGGGCTGGGAAGAAGTGGAGGAAGGAGGAGCCTAGGTGCTAAGGTCCTGCGGGCCTCCAGGGTTGGAAGGAGCCACGAGGCCAGGCCCCTGCCTCAGGTTGGGCTGCACAGGAGCCGTGGAAGGAGGGAGGGGTGTAGAGTACAGAGCAGGGGGCTGGGCTGGGAAGAGGGACTGTTACAGAGTTGCGGGGGCTGAGGTAGGGGGCAGTGAAAGTCAAGAAAGAAAGAAGCAAGGACTTGGGAGAGGCGGGAGAGGAAAATGAAAAAATAAATTGGGGATGGAATGCGGTTCAGGGAAGTGCACTCACAGAAAGTTCCAGAACATGTGTGGTGGCGTTATTTCAAGACAGGGATGAGCCACAGAGCTCTTTTGCTTCTGCCTGTCTTCAGTCATTCTGATTGAATCAGAATGCTGTCCTGGAGAGGGCTAAGCCCTTTAATAAATGTGTACTGAATGGTTGAGTGAATGAATGAATGAGAGGATGAATAGATCAGAGGAGGGAAGAACCAGGTTCCAGTCCACATTGACTCGTTTGCTAGCTGTGAGACATTAAACCTTTCAGGACCTCAGTTGTTCTATCTCTACATGGACATGATAATGTCTGCCCTGCCTTTTTCTCAGGGCTTCTCAAGACCTCAGAGATCACAGATGTGCCAGTCTGCTGTTATATTTTTCACCCAGACTCAGGAGCACACATCTCAACTGTGTAACCTTAGAAAAGAAACCTCTCTGAGCATGTTTTCTCATCTGTAAAATGGGAATAATGGTAGAACCTTCATTGGGTCACTGTATTGAATGTATTGAACCTGGCACTCAACAAATGCTATTTTCCTTCCACTTCCCCACTGGCCCTTTTTTTCGGGGGGGGGGCTTTCTATTGATCTTTGTTCCCCTTATTTTATTGTGAAAAGAACTTAACATGAGATGTCATCTTTTAAGTGTACAATACATTACCTTTGACTCTCCCATTGTCTTAAAAACCTCTAAGGGGGAAAAAAAGTCCACAGCTTAGTTCTCCATTTTGAAAGTTACTGAAACTTAAATGTGCCAACAGTGAATTTTGAGATTGTCTGCTTTTCCCAGTGAAACTCTTTATATAAAACACACACACACGCGCGCGCGCGCGCGCGCGCGCGCACGCACATGTAATGTACATGAAGTTCCAATACATTTCTCCTGGCTGGAGCCCCTGGCAGATCTTGGCTGTTGTTGAGCAGCTGTAGGTGGTGAGCTGGTATCTGCTGGCTACAAAAGAGCTGGTGTCTGCGGGCTACAAACACACATCTACCTCTACCAGGTACCTCCAGGCATCCGCCCAGCTTCTCTGGAATACCCTCACGAGTTCCATGGATGCTGTGGCTCTATTCCCCGGAGCTGGGCTCTGGGTCCTCCTATGGATCCTTTAGCAATAATAAAGACCTGCTGTGTCCTTGCCACCCCTACCCCATGGGTCCAAAGGGCTGAGGGTCACGGGCAGCAGAAACTGGCTCCCTGCCTTCATGGTCTGGAGAAGGTAAGGCGTGCGGAGTGCAGGGCCACCTAGGCCCACCGGGACCATCAGCTGAGAGCTCTCAAGGGTCTCCAGTTCCAGGCCTGATGGTGTCTCTTTCATGTGGCAAAGGGAAGATGACCAAAAACTCCTGTCCAAGGCTTTGCAAGGATACTATCTGGAAAAGGGCGTGTGCTTTCTCCGACTTTTCGAAGGCAGCAGGATTCTGCGCATGCTTATGTTCCTTCTCCGTTAATAAGTTGTGTCTCATGCGCAGCTAAGCTGCAAACCCCACATTACAGGTAAAGGAACTAAGGTCAAAATAATAAAAAAAATCCTGCCTGAGGCCACACCACCTGTTAGCTGAGAGGCCTGAGCGTCAAGCCCTGTGTTCCTAACTCCAGATGAATCTCCCCAAGGAACCCTGCATGGCCATCCCGTCTGACTCTTCCAATGTTCAAGTGCACATTTTTGCTCACCTGTGTGTCTTCCCCAGAGTAGCCTGTTCAGCTCACGACAGCAGGGGCTGGCCTTATTTATGCTTATACCCTACCATCTTGCTTTGGGAGTGGCCTTGGAAACAGGGAAAAGCTCTCCTCTCCCATGGGTAGATTGCTGTTGTCGGTGAGGCACAGGCAGAAAGCAGGGAGTCCTCCTCTGGCCTCGAGAGCTCCTGTTATCTCTCAAAGGGACCAGTCAGGCTTGAGCTTTCCCATCCTCCTTCTCTCTTTGTCGGGGAAAGGAGTGGGAAGTAAGAGGGAAGAACTGTTGCGTTTTTCAATGAAAAGGGACAGGGCAATAGCTACTGGCCACCCGCTGTGTTAGATGTGCCAGGCTCTATCATCTCTGAATTTTTCCATCAAACCTTTAGAGTAGTTACAGTGTTTCTGTTTTACTAAGAAACTCAGGCTTGGTGGGGCTAGGTGGCTCAGCCTGTAATCCCAGCATTTTGGGAGGCCGAGAATGGATTGACTGAGCCCGCAGGTTCGAGACCAGCCCAGGCAACTTGGCGAGACCTCATCTCTACAATAAATAATAAATTAGCCGGGCATGGTAACACACGCCTGTAGTTCCGGCTACTTGGAAGGCTGAGGCGGAAGGATCACTGGAGCCTCGCAGGTCGATGCTAGGTGGCTGTGTGCCACTGCACTCCAGCCTGGGCAACGGAGTCAAACTCCAACTCAAAAGAAAAGAAAAGAAACTGAAGCTCAGAGAGATTTGATGGCTTACCTGAGGTCACCCAGCTGGTAGGGGCAGCACGGACTTATATCCAGACCTGACTCCTAATTTCTGTGCTCTTTCCTATCTCTGTTGCTGTCTCTTAGGATGGGGACACTAATGTGCCCTCATTTAAGCTGGTCAGTATAACCAAGGAATAGCTTCAAGAGCCTCAGCCATCTGGTAGGAACTCCAAATACGAGGCTTTCTTCTCCTTCATCTGGACACTCCACAAAGTCAGGTGAGATTACTGTCCTCTAAGAGGCTCAGTTTCCCTGTCTTAAAATGGATAGAATTGGCCCCGATGGTCTCCTAGGCTGCAAAGGTCTGTGTTTGGACAGAAGGGACATAAAGAGCATTGGGTTGGATGTTGGCATTTGGATATCTGGGGCAGAGTTGAACTTCTTAGAATCCTTTTTGTCACCCTAAACCTCCACCTCACTCCAGCAGCACCAGAGAGACCTCAGCCCACCCTACCCACTTTCCCATCTCCTCTGTTCTCAAGGGGTCTAAACCTCACTAGCTACCTGTGTTGAGATACTCCCCCTGACACCCTGGTCTTGCCCAGGCCACAAGACAGGTTTCTGCAAAAGCCAGGGATAGAAATTATTTATCCAGAGCCAGAGCCAACAGTCTGAACAGCGCACCCTCTACTTCTTCCTCTAGGGACAAGGCAAAGAGACTAATTAGCCCCTAAGCGCCAGTCAGGAAATGAATCCCCCACCCACCCTCCCGTTAGCCCCCAAGAAATTAATAAACTCATCAGATCCAACAAAGCAGCTTGGCAGCTATTACCCAGCACAATCTAATTGCAGAAAGGCAGTGGGAGGGAAGGGGAGAGACAGAGCCAGGTGCCCTGGGATACAGGCTAATTGCCCCACCCACTGGGCACCCTCGATGCCACACACGTGCCAGGGGTGGGCAGAAGACATAGCTCTTTCATCACTGACAATCTGGCTCTGCCTCCAGTCAAATCCCCTTGCCCCACCCGCTGACATCTGCCCCCCAACCCTCCTGTAGGAACAGCTGTTTGGTGAGCCATTTCCACATGCCACATGTGCAGCCTTGACTTCACTTCAGATAAAGTCTCTCTCCCTGGATCTCTCTGTACTTGTTGTCTCTCCCACTTGCTCTGTCTTCTCACCAGTTTTGAGGCCCTAAGGGCTGTGTGAGGGAAGGGGGGGTAACTTTGGACAGGGCCACTGACAGCCTATAGAGAGCATCTTAATGCAGAAAATGCACCTGCTGGGCTGCTGTGACCCTGCTGGTGCACAGCTGGGAACGCAGAGTTCAGGCTGGAGTTCAGCTTCTGCTCACCCTCGAGCATTGCGCAGACTGTGCCACCAATGCAATGGCCCCAGAGTTGGAGGATTTAGGTTTAACCTGGCTTCTCTGCTTATGAGCTGTGTGACCTCAGGTAAATTACTGAATCCCTCTGAGCCTCAGTTTCCCCCCTCTATAAAATGGTATTAAAATAGCAATTATTGCTTCATAGGGTTCTCAAGGAGATGAAATGAGATGGAGTATGTGCAAAGTACTATGTCAGTATTTATTAGTTTTTAATGCCATTGCCTGACAAAGAAGGTGGGATCTCTTCTGTGTCCCACAAAAGGCTTTGCACTATGGACTTCAGTTTATTAGACAGATTAGGTCAGCATTTCAAAGTTTGGTTCCCAGATCAGAAGTATCAGCATCACAAATGCATATTCTTGGGCCCCACCCCAGACTGACTCAGTCAGAAACTTCAGGGGTAGGGCAGGCTGAATGATAACAGAACAGAAAGAGAAACTCAGATGAGAAAAGACAAGGGTGTAGACACTCATAGTGATTCAATCTTCACCCATGGTCAGCTAGGGAATGTTTAAATGTCTCTCCACGAACAAGGGTACCTGGTGGGTAGCGTCTGCCAATCTCTGTGGTGTAAACACCCGCACCATGGCTGATTTCTCGCTACCAACATGATGTCACTGAGCACAGAGCTAGAAATAGGTGTGTACGGTGGGCTCTCACTAGCCGGGCAAGCCTGCTCCAGCACATGGCTGGTGCCCATTGCATTCACATGGGCTTTGTGCTGGGCACTAGAAGCTTATGCTTACCTATCTCATTGCCACCCACAGCAAGGAAAGTGAAGTCCAGATAAGTTAATAATTTACCCAAGTCACAGAGCTGGTAAGGAGGAAGAAACAGTATTCAAAAGAAGGCCCACGTGCTGCTTAATTGGGATCATAATGCTTAAAACAAATGTGCAGTCCTTCTAATTACAGACTCTAATG